TCCTTGGCAGTAGATGCTACCAAAGCCGATCAGACTTACTCTCCATCGATCTCGTGTACGGAATATCGACTGTTGACTCTTGGAGGAATCTTTTTTCCGAAAAATTGATTTCGAATATATATATATATATTACACATGTCACATTTCTAGCAACCTCTCGCAATATCATTTGCGATATTTCAAAATTAAATAACAATATAAGCTCGTCTCATAAATGCTCTGTAAATGCACAGCAGGTATATCGACAGTATCAAATATCTCTGATGACGATTCTGATCGGGCTGATCAAGGTGGCAACGTGCTCACCGGATTGATCAGCCAACTGTGATCCAATCGATTGGACACGCATAGCGAGTGTCGATCTATCTCGTTCTTGTAACTGAAACGCTGGAACGTCACTGACAGACTGCGTCTATCGATCGAATCGATCCTACACGGATACAAATTTGCCTTCTCTGTTCAAAGTTCTGTGCGGAAGCACAAATCTTTGCGATCGAATACAATATAATCTGAGCAATACATATGTACATACATACATATATATGCATTATATATGTATATATATTTAATAATCCTGTGTTAAATATAGAATATAAACTTTTGATAAATGTTGGTAAAAAAAAAATATTAATAAATCAAACACTCTAAAACAAATGTAAAAAACGAAAATCTACATCGCGATACGCGTAAATGTCATCTGAATAAACAAAAATATTTTTGCTCATATACGTGGAATGCAATTTACATTTACGTCGCGCGACGCTCTACTACAATTTTTATGGAGCGGCATGCATTTTACCGGTACGCGCGATATAAAGAGATACTCTTGTTTACGCAAAATAAAGTGCACTTAGAAAAAATACGACGTGTCCTTATCACGAAAGTGTTCCTAAAGAGAGAAAAAGAGAGAGAGAGGTAAACATCCCATTTATTGTTTATCGTCGTATATCATAGATAAGACGGGGATGTATGTCTGATACATCTTTTCGTAACGGCCGCAACTTATCGATTTTCCGTGGAATGCAATTTAATACATACACACACACACACACACACACAAACACACAAATGCCTTACGGGAAGGAATATCGTTGTATTGTACAATATATCGCAATATATGGCTTAATGTAATAATTTAATAAATGCAAGATAACGTTTAATTAATCTCGACAATACAATCGTATCCCCTCGTTTTATGGATTCAATTTATTTGTAATAATTAATCATATATCTCTCTTTCTTGCTATTATCGAAATTCTTATCTTTTAATCTTATATTCAACTCTTCTTTTGGACAGATCTAAAAAAATGTTGAAAAAAGTGATAAAGCAAGTGGATACAATTTCACGCTTCGTTTCTCGTTTATTAGAGTTCTTATTCCATGTAATATTCTCTCCGCTACAGTAGCGCTGTAGCAGCGACTTCATCTACTCGGATATACAGTGCGTGCATTTCGTTCCTCCCGGATGAGGAAACAGAAGGTCGAGAGAGTACTTCACCGCCATTTCTGGTGAGAACTCACGACTTACCCTTTCACTCTCTCTCTCTCTCTCTTCTTCGCGTGCGCACGCGTCGCTGTCGAATGCAAAAAGGGCGAATGAAGGATAGCGTCTGCGTGCATCACGCGTGAAATTTCGCAGCCGAGAAATAACCCCCGAGACGTAGGTATTATGTTTATGAATCGCGATAAAGTGCGCGTTGTAAGCGCACGAATTACGGAGAGCGCTACCTCCTCGTTCAATCGTCTTCTAAAATTCATGAAATTGTGCGTGCACATCGAATATTTATGCACGTTTAAATTTTAACCGCGTACAATGCCGCTATTTATCGTGAATTTATCGCGCGCACGTTAAAGTGTGCTCGTTTTTGTCGTTTTTGCGTTGTAAATATTGCGTTTTCCATTTCGCCCTCTATTCTAATAGCCGTGCTGTAAATTCTAAAGTCTAGTTATTGAATAAAATTAAAATTGTAAAATCCTATTAAGAAAGTATGCTTTTTTAAATATTTGATAAAAGCACGATTCTGTAATTTGTTCGCGTACAACGCGCGTATTATACAGTATCGTCTTTTCTACATGCGCGATAACTTCCTCGTAGATTCTACTGCGTAGGTTCTACTATATATATTCTCTCTCTATCTCTCTCATCCGATGTCGCACCATTTTCTCGAGAATAATGCGGATTCCGTCGAGTGCATATAAAATCGACCTATATAATCTTCCGGATACGGCGCACCTTCCGTTTGTACAAAGTTCCGCGCGCAAATCCGTGTAACCCGGCCATTTAACAGGTTTATGCAACGAGTTTGTTTCCCCTTGTCTCGATGATTATCCGCCACCGAGTCGATATCCGGCAGGACTTTGCTGTCCCATTGATATATCTATCTTGCACGGAGAAACTCACGAATGTCACGCGACTGAATGCTAGTAAATCCATTAAAATGCAAAAGACAAAGCCGTGATATAAATAGAAAAAATATATAATATAAATGTAATCGTAAATTATAGTATTGATTATTGTGCCCTATAAATTAATACATGTACATGTAGTCTGGTGTTTACGTAATTAATAAAGAAACTGCATACACGTGAATAATTCAACAGCAAATAGCAAACGCAAAAATATCACGTACGATGTATTATTTAATGGAATGAAATTTTCAGTTCGCGAAATGGAACAATCACGCTAGATGTTTCGTCGAGAGGCTTAATGCACCAAGCTCTTATGCAAATTGCACGCGACGGTTCTTACGTATGCACGCACGCACGCATTCGCGTACCGATATGCATCTCACGGGTCTTAATCGCCTTGTGCGTTATCTCGCGACGTATGCGAGCAGCGACGTGTGTTTCCTGCGCGCGTCAAGCGCTGCGGCTTCGTGTCTATCTCGGAGAGGGAGAATATCGGCGCGATATCGGCGCACACACAAATTCTCGACTTGCGTACATATCGACGGTTTGGCATGGCTCCAACAGCAAACACACACATACATATATATGTATATAGGAACGTATGCAATCTCTTGAGTGACATTCTGGACGATGCAATGGACGATGCACTCACTTTCTTCCAAATGTTCAATTTGGAAATTTATGACGCGCTTGACGAGAGTATTTATTTTTTCATTGCTCGCAGTACTCTTTATATAGACTGTCTGACTCGACTTGTCTCGTTGATAAATTCATAGACTAATTAAATTGATTTAAATTTTATTGTAATTTGTCTGATATTGCCTACAAATTATTCCAAGTTTGATTGTTTATTCATGCACAATAAGAAGTAATGGCAAATTATTGAAAAAGATCCGCGCGACGTAAAATCATTTTAAAGTGTATGAATAAAATCTTTCAAGTAAATATGTATTCGTAATTTAAACTACGTAGAATTGAACAAATTACGTCTGTGTGCTGCACAGTTCCATAATTAAACCGCGATTTAAATTACAAAGGAAAAGTTTGCTGTGCGAATTGATCGAAGAATAAACGCTTGAAACTTTACTACGTGAAGGACTGTTATATTTTTTTTTATGTGCGATATACATTTTACGGAATTTTGCTTAGAGCCTATGATGATTGAAAGCGGAAAATATTCACATTTCGTTTCAAGAGATTTCTCAAGTCACTTTATTCCATCTCGCAACGACATGATAACGCAATATCTCACTGATCGCGTTGCTTCCGTGATGGACGTTCAATCTATATTTCCTGGAAATTCACATAAAAAATTGTAATTATTTTCGACGTCATATATAATCGCACGGAACCTCTTTAAAAATGGAATTTTTTAAGGGTTCTCTGAAAAGGATAATTAAAAGTTTCACGAGAAGCTTCGAAACGCGCAGCAGGATATCCGAATTTCCCTGCCGTTCGTTTTTCGTAATTATGTTCTCTGGGACGCTAGTCCTTTTTTTATTTACCGTATAAAAAAGGATTATTTGATTCGATTTGACAAATTAAATAAAATTTGAAAAATAAAAAGTGATCTAAAATATTGTAGTTAGAAATTGGAGTAAAATAGAGAAAATGCAATTTACATAGATACGTATAGCATCAAACTTTATTGGTTTTGTCGTATTGTCATTTAAGCAAAAACTGATAGCTTGATCAATAAATGCATGCTCTACAAAAACTACTATCTTTCTCCGTCAAGCGATTATATTAAAAATTATATTGAAAATTATGTTAAAATACAAGAAATTGATATTTGTGCTTTCTTTCAGTTGCCTAGATTCTTTATATATATATATATTTCATTTCGCGCGACTTGTTATACGACAAGAGCCGCGTTCCGGACAACTAGTAAGAATGGGCACTAAGGTGGACTTTAATTAAATTAAAGTTCTTAATTAAGTTGCATCAGTTAAAGAATAAATCTTATCGTGACGTAAGCGCTAATATAAATTACTTAATTCCATGTAGAACGGCAGTCTCTTTCGCAGCTTGTGCGCAATGCTAATTGTATCATTGCAATTATTTTGCATTTTAAACGGCCAAGATAGAAAGCTTCTGCCAGCTTTGTGACGAGAATCGCGTTGCGCGAGCACTATTTTATGAATTTATTCTACCGGAATATATATACCATTCTCAGCGACTTACGATTGAATTGCTTAGCGTGAAGAATGTCTTATGACTACTGTATTATTTTTTAATAATAGATTACCAAGTTTATAATTTGTGTAAAAAACAGAGCATTTAATTATAGATACAACCATCCGTAATTAAGAATTTCAATCAATCAAATTAAAAGGAAGGAACATTTTTCGAATTAATTACGATTAATGGATTTTTTCTAGATATTAGAATCATAAACTTGATTAAAAACATTATGCAGCAAGTAATGCGAGACGCAGTCTAGATTGCAATGCTAAAATCACGACATGAAAGTTTCATATCGTAATTACGGTGATGATAAAAAAAAACGAATAACGAGCTTTGTAAGTAATTAACTGCGTGTATATATTAAAACTAATTTTACTAACATTAACCCTTTTCTTTCATTTCAGACATGTCCTACAAGCCGCGTCATCCCGTTATCGAGGGTAAGTATTTTCTGACATAATATATATACAAATGTGTATAACATTAATGGTATGCCAATTTAAATCGGGAAAAGCTTCTCATTCGTGTTTGAAACACAGTATATGTATGTGCAGCACTTTGTACAAGCGCGCACTATGGTAATATTGATTTTCCAAATAGACAGCGAGAGCTACGTCAATTTCTCATGGTCTTTCCGGCAAAATTCATAGCGCTTTTTGTTAATACCGGTATTAAACGCAATTACGATATGTCACATTTCAATACATGAAATCACTCGTCGCTATAAATTATTCGCTCTTTGGCAACGTATTATTATATTTTATGCGTAATACGTTTAATCTGGATCGATTTGTGTCGAAAATCGAGGGGATGAAAAGCGAGAAAATGAAATGGCGACAACTTTTACTTATAATCAATAATGCTTGTACTTTGTACAAAATTCCCCAATATATATATATATATATATATATTTTTTTTTTTACAAAGAGCTATATTTCCTATGAAATCGCAGATTTAGATAGGTCGACACGCGACGTTTAGAGACGTGTTATTCCGAAGAATAACCCGACGGAATGCGGGCCGAGTGGTGCCTTTCAAAACGACCAGCTCAATTACAACATGAAACGCGCAGCGTACCTCGCATACCGTGAAATCGCGTTATAGCCGCCAAAACGATCGCGATAACACGTGTATTTCACGCTCATGTCCCGCAACGCTGGCCGTCGCGTTACATAGACAGTTTTCAAAGATATATTTTTTCGCGCCTCTTAACGACATTTAATTTATCTCGTTATTGCGTAGCGCGAGTAATTGTAATCTCATCATCGTTCGCGAGATTCGATTGTGAGAGAAAACGACCGTAAATTGCGGTGAAATATGAAGAGAAGATTTCAGGTAACTGAATACACTGAAAATTTCTAGATATTAATTTTTATTTCGCGTTGTTAATAATATTTTAAATTGTAGAATATGCGTATAGAAAAAAATATAATAAAATATTTTATAGAGTTTGGTAACATTAATTAAAATTTTTCACGATTATGTATTCGGATTTTTAAAAGCCGTCAACTCTTTTGAAATTTTCATCGTATTCTCGCTTTACTTTGCGGAGCAATATTAATATCAATCCGCGAAATGAGAATAGTATCGCAAAGCTCGAGCGACGAGATATCAAAATTGTCGATCCAGAATCATCTCCAGATTCGCTTTTTTTTTTCCTATCTCTCTATCTCTTTTTCTTCGTATGCGAATACGCGGATTTGTACGCACGTATTATTCGGACAAACACACAAACAGTCCTTGGAGTAAAAGCATAACACACTGAAAAATTTCCCGCGGCGATGTATGTATATGCACGCAGTTCTATTTGATATTTCCGAGCTTCTATACTATATGTGTCACCTTATTTTATTTTATTTTTTTTCGTAGTCACTACCGAAGTAATCCCGAGCGGGTGCAATCTCCTTTTAGCTTGTCGCTCTCCAAACACGAAATCGTCCATCAAACTTCGGGGATACTCGGTCGCGCTTCGCGATTATTTGCATTAATTCCAATACGTCTGTTCATCTCTTCCTCTCCTTTAACTTCTTTCGAGGCCCGTTCAATCCAGACTATTCTCATTATCGCGGTTACTCTTGTTACCTCGTGCGTCTATTCTCGTTATCCTGTCTGCTCTCGTTACCCGTCATTGGCTATTCTCATTAGCGAGATCCATGAAGCTGCCTGCACGATACGTCAATCCCTCTCGCATTTCTTTGATCAAGTCACAGTTTTCGAATATCTATTCGAGAATCTATTGTTATGCCAGAGTAAACTGTATGTACAGCAGACATAATAAAAAGATGCCTAATTAATCATGAATTTTTTAAATCACTCCGAGTTGTATTTGATTCCTCTTTTAATGGTCGTTCTTAATTTCCCGACGTGTCGTCTCCATGTAATTAACTCTCAAATTAAATTTTAATTATAAAACGAGGCTTATCATTATGAAAGATCAATTTTCATTCTTTAATTACATTTTTGCAGCTTCATTCAATGGACGGTTTATATATGATTTTTCAATATATTCGATATTTAAAATATTTATTAATTATTCTTGGAAACGAGATTTATAGGAAAAATACGACGGAGAAAATATATACAAATGAAACAAGAACAATATTCTTCTGTATGTTTGATGGAAACTTCTGTATCCAATATAATCCTTTTCATCTCAACATACAATCATTATTCGCTTTTACGCAGGTTTTACAACGATTATATCTCGACGATCGCGTTCCGCTAGTAAAGTTTGGATATATACTCGTATCGTTGACAATTTACATTGAGCTCGCTATTGTCCGCAATGGTTGCTGCTAGACGTGATTGTGTACAATTAGCCGCGATTGTGCAACAAAAGGACATATTCACGCGGATGCAGCCGATATACTCGCGTTCTTCAGAGATATTATATCCGACACTCGACTCCGATAGAATTGGACAGATATATGTGTATTATACAGCTCTTTGTATGTATATTACTCGTGTTTATTACGTTTCATATTACAGTAAAATCATACGTGCACGCGAACCTTTGCTAATGTCTGTAAGATAGTTTCGTGTATAGCGACATAAAACTCTAAATTGGCTGTCTGCCACATGATGCTGATTGTACAATTTATTATGTGGTATATATATATATATATATATATATATATATTTAGTACAGGTACACTCGTACAATGTGTACTCGGTTAATATTAATATCGAAATTGCTTGCAACTTGCATTCTATTTAACAATCATGTTCATTATTGTGTTTACAACTACTAATAAAAATTTAATTAAAATTAAATCTGTTGGAAATTTGTGACAAAAATATGACTTTATAACAAACTGAAAAACAATTTCTAAAACAATCTCTTCTTTCATTTTTCAAGTATCTCAATACATTTATATTTAATTATACTTTTACTCCCTATCATTTCCAACACTTTTCCTCTTTGAAAAGCGTCTCTACGAAAAACGCTCTGTATATTAGCACTTGAAGAATTAGCACTAAATTAAGCACCAAATTTTCTCATTATACTCACTGGATAATAATATGATCGTTAGAGCGATTAATTTGCTCAAATGTATTTAATAGCTATTTTGCGGACTCTACATATATTCGTTAGCATATTGAAAACGCGTGTACGTACGTGCAACAGACTGCACGTCAGGAGAAATACATTACATATAATGCAAAGTTCTGCGCAAACAGAAACGAGCGCATGTAGTATTACGTATATTACATATAAGCTACACAGTTATATGTATACGTATATGTATAAATACGATAACGCAGGAATATACCTGGCCTCTCTGTTTTTTATGATTAGTTCATTGCATTTTATAAAAAGTTGTTTACACATTGCGCGAATAAATCTATAACTACGTTTAAAAATTATTGTGTTATAACTTATTGATGTTAAAATAAAACGCCATTCTCTAGAAGTTAACTTCCGATAGATTAGTTAAGAACAATAATACACGATAGAATGCACGATGAAAATAAATGAATTAAAAAAAAAATAAAATTATTTGTAAAATATTTTAAATGTGAATAAATATTTTATATATCTGTCGTGAACAGAAATGCAGATATTTGTAAATATATATCGTACGTGCGTATATATACGCGCGCGCGCGTTTGAGAACCACTGTTCCATAAACAGTTCTCTACGTGGGTCGATGCGATTCGAAACTGAAACCCTCGTGGTCTATAGGGACGGAGGTGAGGACCGACCGAGTTAGCTTTCATTCGCTAAAAGGCCACCGAAACGCCATTGTGCTATCTCTCGAGAATATAACCAGCGAAACGATACGCGACGCTTGCGTTTTGGTCACCCGATTTGCCAGTAACGGAATGACGCCTTTGTGTAAACTCGAGTTGTAACGGACCAATGTTGCTCGAAGAGGGCTAATTGATTACGTAACTCGGGCTGTGCCCGAGCAAAAAATGAACGCTATGTATAATATGCGCGTATATGTTCTTAAAAGAAAGTACAGGTATTTTAATCGGTCATGTCATATCGATTATTGATGGAGTAGTTGTTTATCGTATATCTACTTGCGCCTGCAATCTCGTTAATTCAGCATCGATTTCATCGTAGCCACGTATATACTTTCTACACTGTATATTTTTCGCAAAGAGAGAGAGAGAGAGAGAGAGAGAGAGAGAGAGAGAGAGAGAGTAGAGAGATGATGATTTATCGCCATTCAACGCCGCACAATTATACCGTATTACAGACACGCAAATTAATGGGCAATACAACCTATCATTGGAATATCTCCTTGTCGGATTATCGATTATTCAATTATATCTCTGATAATCTCCCTCCTATCCATGAATATAGAGCAGACGATTATAATGCAACGCCATAATTGAGAGTTTGCTTAGAGAAGTATGTAAGAGGGTCGCGACATAAAAAACGTAGGAAACTCGGTCGAAGGTCAATGGCAACGAAAGTTTTTCCGATGCCGCTTTTTTTTACCGCTCTCAGTATCGCATTGTTTTCCGAAGCAGTTGGCGCATTTTTTTCTCTATCCCGCATACGCTCTCGATACGTGCTGCCGAGAACCTTTATCAAGTACGCCGTTGCACCTATCTTACGAATGGGGTGTGATAAGGTTACGCTAAGAAATTGCCTCTCGGGCAGATAGAGGGTGGCTGTCAGGACCTGGAGGGCAAACTTTCTCCCGGCGAACCGCGTTTCCTTTTCTTCTCCCTTTCCCCCGTCACACTTCCTTCCGTCTTATCCTTCCTTCCTTCCGTCTACTAAATCCAACTCGGTCTTACTTCCGAAACTACTACTTGACGATTTCTTCTTGTTGCACTTGAAGCGCTCCCAGTGTTACTTCGCGAGACGTCGATCAGCGGAAGGAAGAGAGTTGAAGGTACACGAAGTCGGGTGGAAAAGAATCTTACACAGTCGTTATCTTGTCACGAGAGAAGTACGGCGCACGTGATACGCACTCTT